TTGAATTCTTCAAAATAAAACTAAGGCCTTAATTGTAATAAAATGTCTTAAATCGGTCTTTCGTAGGTCTTAATTTTTAAAACATCATAAATAGGATTATTTTTATTACGATTTATTTTTGTAATCTAAATAAAACGTTAAAATTGACCATTTTTATTTATTTTTTTTATTAAAAAAAAAAGAAATAACGGCTCGCCAATATTGGTTCCGTCCCGATAGCTTTTCAAAATTTGGAACAGTGCAGTGGTTTATGTTAAAATAAACCTTTGGGTTTAGTTGTCGCAAGCAGGTTTTTCATGTGTTTGAATTTGGTCTTAAATTTTTGTTTCAAGCGGCATTAAAAAGTCTTAAAAAGTCTTGAATTTAACTTGCCTTATGCTGCAGAAACCCTGTATAAGGTGCAGGAAGCTCCTTTATTCAGATGAGACTTGAGTGGAAGTATCTGGTGTTCATGCAAAAAGCTGTAGCTGCTGGAAAATTAAACCATCGCTGTGAACGTGACACCGCCATGGTGAAGCATGGTGGTGGCAGCGTCATAATGTTGTAGCTAAACACAGAACAGGGCTAAAAAAAGCAGTTAAAAGCAGCAGATGAATGGAGGCTGGATTAGGGTCACATTTTGGGCCTAGAAATCCATCTAGAGCTACAGTACAATGGTTTATGTGAGGAGAGTATTCATGTGTTAAAAACGGCCTAGTTAAAGTCCAGACCAGGATCCAGTTCGGCATCGGTGGGAAATTTTGTAAAGCAATGTCTTTTTTAATGCTTTTATGAGTTGGAGCTGAAGAATCAGTATAAAATTCCTCAGCATCTAAACATCCAGAGCTGCTAGTGGTCAGAAGATTAGCTCTGTTCTGACAAATATAACACTAAACAAATAATAAGCTTAAAAATTAGGAAAATCTTTGAGGTATGAATAATTTAGCATGAAATAACACCTTACAGTTTGATCCCAGGCAGGTTTAAGTCAGTCTGCTGCTGTTATTGTTGCTTTTGTTTTCCACAGTATGTGCATGAGTGCATTTATACAACGACGGTTAAACTGCAAAAAATGTAAAACTAAATAAGTAAAACTTCCTTGAATTAAGTGCATTTGTTCTTGAATTGAGCAGGTAAGCGACATACTTTGCCGTTTGAATTAGATAACTTACATTTAAAATAAGAAAAAACAACTGTCGTCTCTTATTTCAAGTGCATAATATCTGATTATCTTATTCTAAGGCTAAATACACTCATTCCATTGGCAGATCGTCCCATTTACCAGCTCAAATTAAGGGTAAATACACTTATTTTAAGGATATTTTTACTCATTTTAGCATCGTTTTTGCAGTGTAAACTTTACACTTGTAACAAAGCAGAGCAGAAACGTAAAATATATACTGATAACTATCTGGTTTATCGTGTTAGTCCTCTCTTTCTGCATTAAATTAATTCTCTACAGCTATAACAAGCAGTTATATATAATTTCCATTTGCATGTGACCCTAAACCTCACTCCAGGGGTGCAAATCGGCCTCCTGCACAGGCATTCGATGTAGGCTTTTTTTAAATACTTAGGGCAGGTCTGTAATAGACAATCATGTTAAAATTATCATGTAATTAAAAACGAAAAACAATATAATCAGGGGTGGAAAGTAACAAATTCAATTTACTCAAGTTACTGTAATTGAGTACTTTTTATGAGTAATTTGTAATTTTCTGAGTAGTTTTTGAAATATGTAATTTTTACTTTTACTCGAGTAAATTTTGACCTAAGTAGTTTTACTTCGCTACATTTAAAACCCC